GCATGGGGTCGCCGGCGCGGGCGGCGCCCAGGTTCCGCGCCTCGGAGCCCCTCTTCGGCGAGGTGGCCCCCGAGGTCATCGAGGAGACGTTGATCCGTTTAGCTACGGAGAACGAGCGGTACCTGGGCGAGCTCTCGGGCCAGGCCGGCCGCTTCAAGGAGGCGCAGATAGTGGGTGAGGCTCCTCCTCGGAGACTCCTGAAACCGGCAGCTCTGCTGCGTTGGCTTCCTCTAGTCATGACTGTTCCTTGCGTTTTTTTTGCAGAGTTTATATTTCTCTTGTCTGAAAAATGGCACTTGGACCAGTCGGCAAGGTATCAGGCAGTAGAGATACTTGAAAGGTAACGTCCTGAAGGTGACGCATGCTTCTCATCTCTCTGATGTGCTTAGGTCGTGCTTGCTCTGTACCGCTCATTTAAATGATGTAGGGGTTTTTTTTTGTATCTGAAGTTTTGTCTTTTCTCTCACTTAATTGTTATATGTATATGCTGAGTACTTGTAGAACTGGCTTTTCTTCCTTTTTCTTAGCAGAACAGAACTGTTTTCTAAGCAACTGTGTTCTTTGCAGGTTTATGATTAAGCAAGTAGAACAAATTTGTAAGCCCTCCAGAGAGGGCAGAAAAAGTAGTGAACAAGAAGAACAAGGCAAAGGCTGGAGCTCTCTGAAAGATCAGATATATGATACATTTGTCCTGCGACTTGTGTCATGTATTCAACTTGCAAGCAAACTTTCCTTACACTACAACGTAAGTCAGCTAAACATTTAACTGTAGGAATTATTTTAGCAGTGTATATGTTGTTCATGTATAACGTTTGTGATCTCTCTGTAGCTTTCCTTTCTGAAAGAATAATAACAATATTGAAATTGAAAAGATATTGGAATGGGAACCTAAGCTGCTTCCATTTAGGGCAGGTTCATTGTCACTCCTCGAGTAACTATTTGTCAGAAAATATTCCCAGTCATTGGGCAAGGGGGAGGGGGGAATTTGGGCAGCTGAAAGTCTCCGTTGACAGTTGTGGAGAATACTATAGCTACAAAGGGTTTAGACCTGTCTGGGGGAAATTTGTGAAATACAGAAAACTTATACAGGAATGGATTTCCAAGCTGGACTTCTCATGGCAGCTTAAAAGACAAGTTACTCAGCTAAGTTTATCCGTACATAAAACGGGAAGCATTATCATTGCATTGGTTTGTGCTTTAATTCAACAAGGAGAAGGTAGGAAAATATTTTGTTCTCAACAAGTCACTTATTGTATATCCTGATATAGAAAATAACTTGGCTTTTTCCTTTCCAGATAGTTAACAGTGATACAGCTTTAAAATTTCTGCAGTCCTTAAAATACTCATACACTAAACAGGAATTGCTTGAGTCAGAACTTGCAATTTTGAAAGCTCTGCACTTCCAGATCAATGTGTCAACTCCTTTGGCTTATGTTGAATTGCTTCTAGAGGTTTTAGGTAAGAGTATTAATAGGAGAGAATGGTAGAGAAAGTTTTAAAAAGAGCAATAGAGCTATTACTAATCTGAAACAAATGCCTTATATTTCATATTTTTACACACTGTGAAGGTACAGTAAAACTTCTCTGATAGTTCAGGACTTCATTATAGTCTTCACAATTAGGACTTTAAGTTTACTTCTGAGCATTTCTTTTTCAGATGAGAACTTTGTCCTTAGGCCTAATGCCCCTAATGGTCAAGTGGGGAAAATTTACATAATTGCAGAGTTCAGCAATTAGAATCTGCAGGATATTGTTGGGCAGCTAGTCTTGACCCGTTCAGTAAAATGTTAAAAAAACCAAAACCCTAATGCAAAGTTCCTTTTTTCCAAACTGACTTGAGAGTTTTCTTGCCCTGACAACCTGAATTTCAGAATGACTGAGTGAAATTAAACTGAGATTGAGAGGGCCTATGAAATTAGACTGCCTATATGACATTGAGAAACAAAGAGCCGTTGTCACCAAAGGTCTTCATGCCTTTCTTGCAATGACTAATGCTTCTGTCTATTAGTTTTTTGACTCAAAATATATGGTTGACTATACTTGATCTTTACACTAGGGCATAATGGCTGCTTACTTCCTGCAAAACCACTGCATGAGATGTGTATGCACCTATTAGACTTCTCCTATCTTGCAAGAGATGCCATCTATGACACTTTGTTGAAGATTGCTATTGAAAATTCAACGCCAAGCAAACTACAGATGTAAGTAGCTTACATGACTATTGAGTAAAATAAGTATTTGAAATTAAAATTATAAAAAAGTTAAGAAACAGTAGCATAATGCTCATACCATTTTTGGCTTTTTAAAAAAAAAATTTTGAGGATTTCAGCATTGTTTATTGTTTATACCAGTTCAAATGAAAGCGCTTCACCACACGTGCTTTAGAGGCAAGCTAGGGAAGTTTTTTTAACTTCATTTTAAAAACGCAGGCTATATAAAGATTACAGAAGTAGCTGTTTTTGAACTATAGCATGATTTTACACCAGAAAACACTTTTACATGTGCAGAGCAAAGTTTTTGACAGTCAAGGAAGATTTCATGCTCTTGGCAGTTGGAATCATCAGCACAAGTGCTTTCATATTAAACCCCAAGCACTGGAATCAGGTACAGTCATTTCTAAACAAATTAGCTCTACATGGGAAAAAAAACATAAAGATTGTTTATATTTTATTGTTTAAGCACAGCAAGGAGACAGACTGTACTAGGAGTAACCTGAAGGAAGTGACATCTTTCAGTTTATTAAGAAG